TGGTACATCGGGGTAACCTCATTATTTTTTAAAGTAAATGGTAAATTTTTTGTCGTTTTTCTAAAGGTATACTTAAATTTCATGAACTAATATTGAATCTTAGAAATTTACAAACTTGACACGGTTGTAACACTGACTTGCCATAATTAGCGATGAAGCCTAAATAAACATTGCAATAAATTAATGGTTGCATTAACATTATTGATGCATCGTCACAATCAGCTGCTATACAACAAATATATAATAATAATAATTTCTATAATATTTTGCTTGTTTATTATCATAACTTTTAGTGTTTTACTTAGTTTTTGTAATTCCTTATTTATGGATATATATTACCAAAATGTTAATAGAATCAGAACGAGAGTTGCTGATATTTATTTAAATACTCTTAGTTGTAATTTTGATGTTATATGTCTCACAGAAACTAACTTAAATAGCATTGTTTTCGATTCTGAAATTTTTGATTCTCAATTCATTGTATTTAGAAGGATCGTCATACAACCTGTATTTCTAAGCATGATGGTGGTGTCGTGTTGATTGTGGTTAGGGACATATTTAATACAATTAGGCAATATAGTTGGGAGAGCAAAATTCAAGACTCGTGGTTAACTATTCTTTCGATCAAAATCCTAAGCTCCACTTATGTTTGTGTTACCAGCCACCCGACATTTCTTGCCACAACGTGCAAGCTTTTTATGATAATGTTATTAAAATCATATCTCGTTGTGAAGACAACGACGCATTCTCACTTATTGGTGATTTTAACACTCCGCATTTGAATTGGTCCGCTAGAACTCATGGTAATGTTATGACGCCGAGTATTTCATCTGATTATAGGGCTAATTGTCTTATTGATATGATGAGTCTTTGTAATCTGGTTGAACTTAATCCTGTACATAACGCAAATGACCGTCGTCTTGACCTTGTTCTATCCACTTCAGACAAAATAATCGTAACATCCACTGAACCTATTACTCGTATAGATTCTCATCACCCTCCCTTGAAAATTGTGCTGACTGAAAACCAAAAATTAAAAAAAATAAATGTATGCGACAATTGGGATATAACTATCGTAAATGTAATTATTCTGACATAATAAAGGATATAGCAAAGGTTGATTGGTCTAGCTTACTTGATGAACCGGATATGGATGCTGTGGTCGCTGTGTTCTACACTGTCGTAAATGAGTTGATTGTTAGACATACACCGCTTGTGAGTAAAACTAGTAATAAATATGCATCTTGGTATACACTAGCATCATTGACTTACAAATAAATGGACGACGGGTATAATACAAAAATCACGAAAAAAATGTCCCTAGTCAACCTATTTAAACGTAGTGACATGTAAAGGAATATGAAAAAGCTAAAACGTTGAATTTAAATTGTAATGTCATCGCAGCACTGTCTAATTTTGCTTGCTTCGCTGTCAGTCGAACAAACGAAGACTAAAGCGTGAATGACGCTCTGTATACGATTTTAACGCCCTATAAGTTCGGACACTTTTTAGCGCGGACCCGACGTCCATATAATTGTAAGTCAATGACTAGCATTAATAAAGTGTCTCAAAGAAAAAAACAAATACCATATACGGTTTAGGAAGTATGAAAATCCTAGGGATTATGACACTTATGCGTTATTGCGCACGAGATGTAAGAAACTCACGGAATCAGCGTATGCATCGTTTATATCATCCACGGAGGAGGTTTTATCTGATAACATAAAAGTTTTTTGGAATTTTGTAAACAATAAAAAAGGTAGCTGAGGTATGGGAGGATGAAAAAAAAAGAATATGCCACAGACTATGGTCCCTTGGTACAGATTCTTCTTCTGATACAATTGGAATATGCGAACTTTTTTCTAAGTACTTCGGTTCTGTTTTCGAGGTCCCTCAACCAATAGACAACCAAGACGTAACTATTGACGCTACCTATTGTCTAAAGCATAATAACTTCAGTAACTACAGTATGGGTAATATTGTACTAAGTCAGGATAAAATATTAGACATATTAAAGAGACTAAACATACACAAAGGTCCAGGACACGATGGAATCCCCGCCATCTTTTTCTTGAATTGTGCAACGGAACTGAGTGAACCACTGACATTGTTGTTTATTAGGTCGCCTAAGTCATGTGTTTTTCCTTCCGTGTAGAAAAACAGACCATATCACACCTGTTCTCAAATGCGGTAGTAAATCTAGTTGTGAAAATTATAGACCTATTAGTATTCTATGTTGTGTTGCTAAAGTATTCGAATCGGCAATGTACGAACATTTTTACTCTCAAGTTAAACCGTTTATCTCTAACAATCAGCACGGATTCGTAGGAAGCCGATCTACAGTAACTAATCTGTTGGAATATAAGGATTATTTGTGTGACGTTTTTGCAGTTGGTGGGCAGGTTGACGCCGTGTACACCGACTTTTCAAAAGCATTTGACAAACTAAATCATTCTTTGCTCTGTAAAAAACTAGCAATGTTTGGTATTAATGGAAATCTTTTGCACTGCGTTCATTCTTACCTCAATAATAGAAGCCAACTAGTCACTCTCAAAGGTCTTAAGTCATCACCTGTTATAATTAAATCGGGCGTCTCACAGGGCTCACATCTCGGTTCGTTATTCTTCATCGTTTTTATAAATGATCTGATTTCTAAACTATCCAGTCCTTGTCTTCTCTATGCTGGTGACTTGAAAATATACCGCGTAATAAGTGAGTCGTCTGACTGCTGTGAACTACAGGGTGATATTGACACAGTTTATGAATGGTGCCAACAAAACACTGTGCACCTCAATGCTAAAAAATGTTTTGTTACAAGTTTTACTAATAAGCGTTCTAAACATATGTATGACTATCGACTTAATGAACAATTATTAGATAGAAAAACTGTAGCTAAGGACCTCGGTGTGTTATTTGACAGTAAATTAACATTTACGTAACATTATGCATACATTACGAACAAAGCACTTCAATTGCTGGGCTTCATAACAAGATGCACCAAGGGTTTCAAACGGGCTCAAAGTTTTCTGACCGTCTGTTACAGCCTTGTCCGTAGTATTTTAGAGTATGCTCGTGTCATTTGGTCTCCCTGCTACTCAGTCCACTCGGCTATCCGATATGTAGATAACGTTCAGAGAAAAGCACTTAGGATACTTAGTTACAAATATGGTTATGGCCGCAGCCTCGTCGGCTATAGTGAGAGACTTGACGAATTTAAAGTGACCGCCTTACGTGTTCGCCATACGAAACAGGACCTCACTTACTTACACAAGGATTTTCATGGTAAGATTGATTCTCCTTACCTCTTAAATAAAATAGCTCTCTCTACAAGGCGCACCCCCGAATACCCAACAAGACGTTTTACTTGCGGACATACAGAAATAATACTTACTTTTACAACCCCCTTGTAAGAATGTGTCCACTTTACAACGAGATATCTATGAAAAACATAGATTTGGACATTTTTGATCCAAGAACCAGAGTATTTAGACGAGTAGTAAAGCAACTTGCACTTGTATAGATTTTCACTCATTCCCTTGACGCTTTAGTATTAAGTAAATTAAAAGCAAATTTAACAGTAGTTCTTTCTTGTTACTATAGATTGATGTGTCAACGTAAGTAGGGTTACAATCTAGTACAGAATTTTGTTATATCATATTTAATTTGTATCAATGTATTTTGATTGTTGTCTGTTTTGTTGTCCATATAATAAATAAATAAATAAATGAATATCATTTAAATATACCACACGGTCTTAAATCCTTGTTGTCTCAAATGTGTTACAGCTTCTTTCATGATTTTGGTAAACACTTTCGATGCTGTGGACAAGTCGTATGTCAGAGCAGTAAATTCATAGGTTTCAATTTCATTCGAACCACAAGGTAAATACTGGAATCTGTGGTACTTTCGATCTGCTTCGCAGATAGATGTCAGTGAGTATACCTCTTTCAGGTCTTTTGGCCATAAAACCCTTTCGAGGTATCAATTTTGAGGCAATTCGATAGTCCTCCATTTTAAAATGAGTTTTTGTTATAAATTTGTTAAAGGACGTTATGTTCAATATGAAACGACTACTACCGTTGCGTTTTGGGGCTAAAGAAGTACTAAAAATGTATTGATGTTTTCTAGGACAGCACTTTGTCACTGCTCCCAAGTCAATTAATTGTGATATGCCATTTTTTTATTGTCGTCTGGCGATAAACTAATGCCGGGTATTACAGACTGGTGTTGTTACCTGGTTACATAATGGTATTACTGGCGAAGCTGCATATTGGTTTTGCAGGTGGCTGTCGCCTAAAACCATTAACGATCTTCTTTACGAAACGAATTGTATTAGATAGGTAATTGAGTTTTAACTACGGCGTGTTTCGTTAATTGCACGTATGTGGGAACTAGTGTTTATTTATTTACAAGATTCATTACTTGTGTTTGTTTTTTCCAAGCACTCGACTCTGCTATCTACTCCTAGGAAAACTTGTTGTACGCTGCAGGTCATGAGAGCAAAGCGATCAAATGAAGTGTTGGAGGTAGACGAACTGTCCTTTGAAATTTTGCTACTGTCATGACGGCGAGTGAATTTCAGATTCCCACGGCCGACGGCATGCTGCGTGCGCGGCGGGTGGTCGTGCCTCCGGCTGCGGAAAATCGATCCACTGTGCTGAACTCGCCGCCGCTGCGGGTTAACCTGCTCTTTCTTTAATACATAGCAAATCGTTACCTGGCAATTATACTCATAATCAGAAAAGCTTCTTGCACCACAAAGTAAACATTTTCCTATATTAGGTACCAAAAAGTTTTGGTTGTCATCCAAGAGTTAATAAGAACAAGGTTGTCCGATTGCAGTGCAGTGGAAGGACACCATTTCAGGCGACATGCGGAACGGGTGGCTGTGGGCACGGGATCGAGAAATTCACTGAGACCCAGAAAAGATGCGGCGCTGCGGCTGCAGCGTGGTTTGCACAAGAGGTGCGCAGCGCGTAGCAAAATAACAGCGCAGGCCGCCGCGCGCGCAGTGTCTCTCACGCCGCGTCGCCAGCTGCACGTGCCGCTGGCCCTTAACTATTTGCTCTTGTGACTGTCCGGACAGTGAGCCGACCACATACACAGATAACTGATCTCAATAGAGTCGTGCGAGTGCTGCACCCGCTGTTCGCGATGCGTCCGCCGCCGGCGCCAATGGCGCTGCTGCTGCTGTTATGTGAGTACACATTACAATAAGAAGGCGAACAGTTATTTTCAAAATCTCTTCTGTGAGATAGTAGAGTAGTAGTTCATATAGGTATGGAAGAAAGAGCAGTACAGATCTATTGACTCTAAATGTGTCACACTCTGATGAGTGAAATGATTTTCTCTCGCGCGAGACTTTACGTACGTGATTGATGACGTTAAGTGAACACTTCAGTACTACATATTTCACAAATCATAAAATAAACAAATGAATGCAATTTCTTCTTGAATCTACATGGATCAGACCTTTTCCTTTTCAGCGTGTTTGTACGACTCTATGGTGGTTTGTGGTTTGTTTCCACGTTCAAAAAGTGGTTGTAGTACCACTTTACTATTAAGCGTAGGGTTCCACGTTGTGCTATTTTTATAAAATATTTGACATTTTATTTAAAAACATCCATTGACAGGCGTCGTGCGCAAGCGGGGGATTTGCGTTGGCATGCGTTAACCTACATCCGCGGAGCGCGCGCGCCGCTGGGCTTAATTTCCTTAACAGTTACTTGAAAGTTGCTCGGATTAGGCACAAGAAAGTTATTTACAATATGAATACATCATACGTTGCACGAGAAATATAGAAAGAAAAAAATTTCTAGTTTAAAATTATTTCAATGTTATAATAAAAAAATATATGAGATTAATATTACCATTATCGGTCACATCATTGCACTCATCAACATTGTCACCAACAACGTGTCTTATTACGATTCATTTTTTATTATATACAGTTTTACTTAAAAATGCAAGTATATTGTAGATACTGAATAATTAACATGATGGTATACTTAGTGCACGCATTGGATGTTACTTATTGGTGGGAGTAACTCTAAATTCTTCGCGATAAACGTCCTTGTACCACAGTTTGAACGAAAGTAAGGTGACGATGAGCATCTACAGGAGAGACCAGTGTCACTCCGTCGCCGGCGCACGGTATGTCCAAAATTACAGATAATGACAACTATCTTGGCAACTATTACTTTTGCATAAATTCTGGAAAAAATGATTGTTTCTGATAAAATATTTTTTGTTTTTATATGGACAAATTTACATTTTCAAAAAGTATCATGTAAGAAAAAGTAATAAATTGAGGTACTTGCAAATTAATGAGTAAAGAGGTGGCAAAATTATTCTATATATTTTTTACAAAATTTACTATAAAGTGAAAAGGGTTTTATTAGCTTGTTACAACTTTTATCGAAAAAAAGCGATCAAAAGTAATATTTCTTTATTATTTCAAAGAATATTCCTCGGTAACACTTTTTTAAAACGATTGTAGCGAATCTCAGCAGTCTCTACAAATCTTGTTGTATATATACATATATATGTATATTTAGCAGTTTTGTCTTAGATTGCAATTGCTAGACTGCTTTAGACGAATATCTTTCGATTAGTATTGTATTGTATGTATTGTATCACTTTTTCTAGCATATCTGGCTTTACGACAACTCGACCTATATGTTGGTTTATAAGACATCAATTGTTCGAGTTTTGTCGGAATACATCAACGACTTGACTTGTCCTCACAAAAAATAATCCAGCAGAGTTAAATTGCATGGTCCATTGCCGCCTTTTGGTTTTGGTGCATGGTAGCGACATCTCTTTACAATAATTTAAAGTAATTTGTTTCTCTGTTTTACGACTGAGAGGTTATAGTGCTAAACTCTTTAGATTATGAGTTAAGGCTTCAAGGCCCTCTTTCCTCGGTGTCCTTCTTACCCCATCTTCTTCATCTCAAAACAGAAATTTTGCTACCTCTGTACTCTTAATTGCAAGTACCTAGATGGTTTTTCTAGTAGGGATGATTGATCCCACACTTGGGATAAAAAAATTAATATTTCTCCATTCAGAAACTTCATTATTTTATTTTCTCAGAAACTATAAATTTTTCAAGAATCTATTCAGGAATAAAACTTGTCAGGAATGTCATTCAAACAACATTAATCAGATCGATATTCCACAAGTAGTCCTTATGATTACAAATTATAGTTTAGATCTCAGTTGCGGCACCGCTTTATATCGCCATTGACTTAGTTATTGTATTATAACAGTACACAATTTGGTAACTAAATCTTGATTTCGATTTGATATAAATGTCACTTTATATTCAAATCGAGTTCTTAGGTTTTCGCGATTGTTATACATAGGAATGAAACTATTTTTCCGGATTTAAATCGCGTATATTTGTTTTTTCAAACAAACCGACGTTTCGGGCCCTTTACAGGTCCCATGGTCACGGTTGACTGAACAACCGTGTCAACTTTTAATTTAGCGATTTAAATCCGGAAAAATAGTTTCATTCCTATTTATATTCAAAGTTAAATTGTTTGAGCAGTCCACGTGCTAAAGCATCTAATTGGTGGCATATACAGGGTGTAATCGTTAAGCGTGCCCAGGCGATTTATTCCATAAATATAAAGGATATTAAACAGCTTTAAACTGATATCGAAAGTACGTTACCTAATGAGTAAATCGACATCAATAACGTTTAAAAATGACTAAAAAACTAGAAATATCCAAAATTGTAATATTAAACGCTCTCATACATTTAGTATGACTTTCCTAGAGAGGCTGTAGTTTTCCTACTGTAAGAGGTAACAATAAGTTAACAAAAATAAATTATCTTGTAATTGAATAAAACTAAAACTATCTTTTAATTGAATAAAAATATAATGGCAATTATTTGGTCAAGTGGGAGTTGTCCAATAACATGAATAAAATTGATCAAATTTTTTAGTGCTGATCGACTCAATTTCATGTAAGGATCATTTCGTTGTATAGGACGAAAAAATCGGTCAAATCTAACAAAAAAGTATTTTTCATATAAAATATATATCATTTTCTTAAATTTGATCAACTTCTGCTGTCCCAGTTTTTTCATCCAATACAATAAATTAATTAATTATAATTTATTAATTATAAGAAAGTGAGTAATAAAAAAAAATTGATCAATTTACTTTACATTACATTTAATTTTTATGGACAACTCACACTTGACCAAATAATTGACTGTGCCGTTATACTTTTATTCAATTAAGAGATAGTTTTATTAATTTATTTGTGTCAGTTTTGTCATCTTACAATAGGAAAATTAAAGCCTCTCTGCGAATGTGATACTAAACGTATGGGAGCGTTTAATGTTAAAATGTTGTATATTTCTTGAAAGTTATTGATGTCGATTTATTCGTTAGGCAAGGCACATTATATAAAGCTTTTTGATATCTCTTATATTTATGGAATATGCGCCTGGGCACACTTAACGATTACACCCTGTATGTATGTATGTATATGGGGTATATGGAGCGTAAGTGGTTAAGAGTGGTTGCCGCGATCATTATCATACGTTCACATTCGCCCGCTACGAAATTAGTTGGACCGCTTATGTGAACATCGTGCCGACAGCCGATATCTTTTTGTATACGTATATGGAGCATAACGTACTAATGAACTAAGTAATTATTATTATTCAAAGTGGAATGTCCTACGAAAAAAATTACACGTGACGAGATCCAGTCAGGGCTGCGTAATGCAGTTATAGAATAATCAGATGAAAAACGAGATACACGCTCCCAGCGAGACTCGGTGGCTGCGACGTTTTTATGATGACGATGAAATTATCGAATGAAAAGACGTAAAAACGGAATCTGTAATTGGAAAAAAACGGTAGCGACAAAATAAAAAAAGAATATTGCAATAGATAAACGACGAACTATGCTGGGTGCGCCTTCGTCGACGCGCGATGTTCTTGAATGCGAATTGCAGCTCTTATAGCGCTGCATCGTGCTCTGCAAAATTTGCAAAGATTTTACTCATGGAGCTTTGCGAGGCGTTTCTTTTATGCACTATTTCTCTGCACTATCACCGCATCTAAACGCTCGTCATGCTGATAGACAACGCTACGAGAAACCACAAGATGCAGTGGGACCTACACAATTCTGCTTTTTGCTACACACTTACATTACAGTTCGTTTACTTAGAATATATTATTTGTGCTACGCCGTTATGATGAAATTTGATGGGTGTTTATTGGTTACTTTTGTTTTATAAACACCTATGCAAATGAAAAATGACGTATTTGAAGTTTCCGTTACGTGATACCTATTCGAACCTTTCTTTGTAGTAACAAAGAGTTGGTACAGGCGGAATCACGATGCCCATAAACGGCAAAGGTCAGCGTAAAGCGCGTGAGCCGCCAACCGAGTGTGGCACCGGCACACATTGTGTGTTCGCGTATAAACAACGGCGCTGTTGCACGTCACGTGACACAGCGACGGCCCACCGCACGAAACGCTGCGTCTGCGTCGGCGCCGTTCTTGTTACATTATAGGCGAGAAGTAGGTATGTACACTTATGTGTACATGTATATCGAGCTTATTACTTTATTCAAAAAGTCCATAATTTGCGAGCGACCTACATACAGCGTTTATTATATTTACATAGACGCGACCTTAACCTAATGCACTAATCCGGGGAGTAAGGAAGTCCAAGAGCGGCAGGTTCACATTCCACAATCACCGTTAGTGGCGGTCATTGCGCACGAAGCATACCACAGTCGCGGGACGGTTGAGCTAAAGCGGCGATGGATTATGCATTCCTGCAGCCAGTGGGTCAGCAGCGCCAACGGTACCCGCAGCACGGGCGTGCCCCCCACCCCCACCTCTACACGCCATTTGCACAACGAGGCCTGTGCTGCACCATTCAGAGCGGCCAATAACATTGGAAGCGTTGCAAACCAATCTTTGTATATGCGTGTATGTGGCGATGAACCAACATCATTCATTTCAAGTTCATCGGCACATAATTATACTCACCTAAAATGGTGTGATAGATTAAAGTTTGGTGCACAGCGAGAAGTAATCGATTGCGTAATGTATAAAACACGCATGAGTCGTCCTCCGTGGTCGCCGGGGCAACTTTCTAACTTGTCCTGAGGTTACTGCCGGGCACCCTGCATAAGAAAGCTTTTTCACTTTATTT